AATCTAAGAACTTGAACCAATATCATTGCGAGAGTCGTGTAGGGAATTGTGATTGATYGATTGGAACTAGTATAGATGAGCTTGAACTTTAACATTGCGAGAGTCGTGTTAAAGGTTAGGTTAACATATGAGGCATGTGGGTTTTACATGCAATGAAAGCTTTAAATTTATAACCCTAGGCAACTGCAAGTGCACAGTATTGACAATTGTAGTACTTAGGGGTCGATCAACTGAGGACTAAGTGATGATGCGCTACAAATCTGTATGATGCGAATTAAGTTAGATGAATATAATATTTGGTTTTTAGTGTTTATGGAAGCAAATAACAAAGAAATAAATAAAGATAGATAGTCAATCAAGATAAAAGATCAAGCAATTCTCAAGACATATGCAAGACACAGGTAAACGATTTAGGGTTTTTAATACTAGTTGTTCTAGAACTCAAATCACTAATGTAAAATTACACCACTATCGTGAATCAAACTTCTATGTCTTCTTCCCTAATAGACTCAATTATCGTATGGTTATTACAAGGTGAAGACACGCGTGATCTGTAAGATTCGATTGTTCACTAAACTCCTTAACTAACCTATCGAATTGTTAAGACGCCTACCTCATCAAAAACTAGGGCCGGAGATATAACAATCTTTTGGAGAGTATATCAACCTAATATCAGTCACTAGTTTAGGTAAGCCAGATCATGTCTTGAGCGTAAATAAAGATGAAGAATCAATTCTATAATAAAACCTTAAACGATCAATCAAGTGATAACATAGAATTAGAAAGTGCATAGAAATCAAATCAAGGCTAATACTCAACATGTTTTGCAACAAGTAGCACCAAGAGTAAAGCACATAAACATAGTAGAAATCGTTGATCTATCAAGCGTAAGGGATTAGGTCTCATCTCTTTGCAATAGGGCAAAGTCGAACTACCCTTAAAGGTTTTCAGAATCAAATATGCATTAAGAACAAAAGAAAAACGAAATACATGTTTAGGTATTAATTTAGGTTATTTTGACCGGCTACTCTAACTTCCTAAAGAGGTTAAAAGCAAGTATATATAGGGTTTAGAAGATCCTAAGTCGGCTAGGTTTGTCTTCGGGCAGAAGAGTCTTTTTGGTCAAAACTGCGGCAACATCAATCAATATTGGTCGGGTTACGTGACTGATATTTGAGGCTTCCATGACGCTTCTAGAAGGTCAGCAAGAGTCTGGATCATCGGCCCACGGAGCGGCTCAGTGCTTGGCTCGTTTCTGCGCTTGCTTCACTTCTAAAGCCATTTGACATGTCTTCAGTGTTTCCAGTGTATCTTCTAAAGTATTGATCCTATTGATGTAATTCCAACTCGATCAGTGAAATTCTGGCGTATACATTCTGTCCAACTTGAGAAAATACTTTGTCTTCAAGATACAATGACTTGGCTTGGCTCCTTTGACTTGGATAAGTAGTTGTATCATAGATAACACTCCTTTTGCTCCTTTTTTGCATTCTTTTGGGATTAAACCTATTAAGTTCTTAAAATCCATATAAACGAGAAAACTACCTCTTTTGGTCAAAAGGGTTTATTTAAACATATAAAAACGCAGTAAAATAGATAGTAAAAGTGGTAAAATATAAGATATATCAACATATCAAATCTTGGTCTCTTTTATGTATGTTTATCCATCTTGTTACTTTGCGAGATCTGAGTATTAGGTTGATAGACATATTAATCATCTTTGCAAAAGTTTGTCGATTATATTTTTTAAGTGAATTTGAGTTAGGAATCCTGCTTTGTTAGTTTTACTCGCATGAACACCTGAATAAATTGCTCCATGAATCCTTAGATCCTTTTGCTGCCTAAAGTTTCTTAGTATTCTTTAAAACCGATTTGATTAGCGTTTGATCTCTCTAAAAACCACTTGTTTGGCTTAGTGTAGTTTTTAATTCATATTATTATTGAGTGTTTCTAATTATCTGTGGATTCGATCCCTAAGTACTACGATTAATTGGTTGTGCACTTGTAGTTTAGGTTGTTTTACATAGGATAAACTTTATTTCGTATCAATTATGGAGAAATTTGATCAACAAAAAGGTAATTTATTTCAATCCCTTTTGTTGTTTAGTTTTTCTTTTAATTTCAATATGTGTTGTAGATGAATTCTTATTAAGTTGGATTAGCGACATCGTTGTTCAATAGAGTTATCAAAATCACGACGGAACGTGTGTCGGCTGTGGAGAGTTTGCGCCATCGACGATTTTAACTGTCGTCTTCACTTCACCCTCTGACAAGCTCTCGTTCCTAAGCTTGATGACTGTTGGCTTCACTTCACCCTTTGTGTGTTGGGAGAGAACAAGCTTGTTCTTTAATATGAGGATGGAAATTATGGATAATGATTTATGGACGAATTGATATGGATAGTGATTCATGGATGATGTGTGGATAAAGTACTTTGCGTCCTCTTAATCATCAATAGCAATGGCTTGTAGACTGAATCTGGTATTGATGTTCTCTTTTGTTTACCTTATTTTTCTGTCTGGTCAACAAGAAATTGAATAAGTCTACAATGGCTTCGATCAAACAAATCTTTTATCGATGTATGTTGGGTTCTCTCCATCAACCGAAAGCCTACTCAGTAACCATTATATACTTGGGTGGAGCTTTAAAATCTTTGTTTTAAGTTATTTTTTATATGTTAGTATACGTGAAGTTCCTCTAACAACTTATTGTAACGACATGGCTCATAACAAACAAAAGTGAAACATGACTAATTCTATACACATATTTGCACACAATGAACTCATGGATGTGGTTTCGTGGATACATTTAAATATCCACACAAACTCATCCATAAGACAATGTACACACATGATATATATCCAACACACATGAAACCAAAAAATTGCTCACCTTTATCTCTTTTACACTACACCATTTTCACAACGTTGTACTAGCATCTAATCCAGAAAAGACACATTAATGAGTCGTCGAACCTTCTAAAAAACCAACAGTCTCATACGGTAACCGCTGGATCTACTGAGTTGATGGATTTAAAATGATAATTGATGGATTTACCGAGTCGATGGATTGAAAATCACCATATCAAGTAGAGAATTCAATACACCGATCCATTCATTGCAAGGACTAAAAACCTCCGTTAATCGGGACTATTGATTAAAGAGAAGCAAGGCTTCGAGATGACGTGAAATCGAACATGAAAAAATATTCATACGGTTCATACAAAATTGGTCATATTATCACTAGCTTAAGATTAATAACTATCCATTATAATATGACCACAAAAACCTATACATGAGACAATATCCATACGTCATGCCATATAATGATTCCAATTTCATCTCATTTTCATAGTTTAAAGTAAAAAAATAGACTAAAAAAATCCAATCGAAAACTTATCATATTCGATTCAATTCCTTTAAATCGGACTACCAAAACACCGATCTAGTCTAGAAAAAAAAAAAATGGGACAATACATTTTATGAAGAATCATATAGAGATAAACCCAAACCACAAAACTCCATGGATCTCTAAAACAAAACAATGGACCATAAAGAAATCAAATCCAAAAGAAATTTTCTGACAAATAGAGAATTAGAGGAATTGGAGCGAGACGGAGAAGAAAACGTATTAGGTCTTCAAACCAGACCCCAAAGCCACGCGGATACATCAAGAGCTCGATCGGAAGCTTTGCAGACAACGTCTTCCTGTTTTGTGAACTGTTATTTCCTCCTCCATGGGTCTCAAACGATTGTCTTCATATAGTTTCTCTAATATCTTCTCTGGATCTCGAATTGATTTTTGGCTGTGTCGAAAGCCACTGGTTTACGGATTTGGGTTGATGAGTCATTGGGATTTGAAGATTTCAATGTTGTGGAACTTGATGAACAATTTGGACTGGCACTAGATTTTGTATAAGAGTTTTATTTCAACAAAGTTTCTTGAATTAAAATTGTAGTTTTGGAAGAGCTTTTTCCTAGATTAAAGAAGATGAGGTGAGATGATTGAAGGAAAAAAATTTTGATTAGGGAAGATGAAATCAATCGGTATAATCTCAACCACACAATACTCAAATATATTTATTAAATGAACGGTCCCGATATTATTTCTCCAACTAAATGCTCACAACTCTCATCTAGTATGTTTCTCTCCATATCTCGTTTAGCGGAGCATTATTATCCAAAATACATTTCAAACCTTTAAAACTAGTGAAAACATATACTTTCTTTAGACTTTCTTTTAAGTTTTAAAGTAGGGTGAATTAGAGTAAACTACTCTTTAAAAAAAAAATTGAAAGTGGTAGACCAAAACAAAATTAATTAAGCGGGAGAGCTGAGAGAGTTTTTTTTCCCCGAATTGCCTTTCTGGCTCACTCAGTATTTCTGACACGTCGTACTGCAAAGCAGTATGTCCCGTCATAAAAAGCAAATGATTGGACAATCTTTTTTTCATCAAAATTTTCCCATTTAATATATGTTTGGTATAATATTTAGTTTAAATTGAAATCTTTCTACTATGTATATATATAAAGACTATATTTTTTTCGGCATATATAGCAATTTCAAATTTTAAAAACGAACACAGATTACTTG